GAGCCCTTCTCCTTCTCACTTCCACAGGCCGTGGAAAAGGACATTTACTGAGCACATACCAAGGTCTAACGCCAAGGCTTCTCTTTGGGAGGAGAGAAGCAGATACACAAAGTTTTCTGTGCCAGCTCCAGAGGCATGCTATGCTCTGCCACATCCTCACTTAAATACTGATTTTAAGTATCAGAAGCAGCCTCTTTTCCTTAGAGTTCTGGTCTGCCTTTTATTTTATTTTTTTTTTTTTTTCTGTTACAAAACCATTTTCCTGTTGGAAAAAAACCCAGGATGATCCTTTACATGAGAATGTACCATTTAAATTTTTTTTCATCTGCTGCTTTACCTAACTAAATACAGTACTTGAGAAGGGATTTCTTTCAATAATTTACTCTCTTGAGAGAAACTTACAATTAGGCATGAGTCTCAGTAAACATGAAAATGCTGATATGCTTCCAAGTGCCTGCACCTAGTTAATTATGTTTTGGTTTATATTTATCTCTCAGCCTGTGTGAAAGTCTCCCATGTGGCAGGAGCACTGCATTTCCTTCCCGTGTTCGATGCCACCTCACCTTCCACAGCTCCTGTCTCATCAGGAGGGGAGAGGCTGCCCCAGGCTGTGCCCCAGCAATGACAAAAAGGATGTGGACTGAGAGCTGTCAAATAATGGCTGAGTCACTGCTCCCAACCCAGCTCTGCCTAAACCATTCCAACATAATTCCAATCATTCCAAACACTTCTAACAACGGGGGTTACCCAGCACAGCTCAGCCCAGCACTGCCGGCCTGCGGAGAGGCTCCAAACGCAGCCACACCGCCAGGTCTGAGAGGCGGGGATTCCAGGGAAGGGTTGGGGACGGCTGAGGATGAGGCGGGGAGCAGCAGGAGACCTGGAGCACAGGCACAGAATGCGAGAATCCGGCTGGCAGCAGCGGCCCGTGCTGTGCAGCCGCACGGGGCAGAGGCCCAGAGGAGAGCGCACAGCCCGGGCAGCTCCGGCCCCGCCGCCGCCCGCGCTCAGCGCCCTCCGAGCGCCAGGGCCGCAGGGCGCGGTGACAGCGCTGCCGGGCACGGTGACAAACCCCCGGCAGGGACAGCGGCAGAGGCTCCCGGAGCTCCCTGCCCTGCCCCGGACACCCCCGGCTCAGCGGGAGGCGCTGAGGAACAGCTCGGAACGAGCTTGGCTCCAGAGCAGCTCCAGGGAGCTTTCCAAGGCACCCTCGGCTGGCCTGAGGCCTGGAGTCGGTCACAAGGGAAAAGCAGGGCCGGGATGGTCGGAAGGAGCAACCCCTGCTCGTGTGGAGCAGGGCAGAGCTGATAAATGCGCTTCCACAATGCCCAGGAATATTCTTCCCTGCCTCTGCCGTGCCAGCTCAGCGCACCTGCCCAGGGCCCTCCGGTCTCCCTCAGCTTTAGGAACACCTTCCCAGCTGCTCCAGGGCCGGGAGACGCCTCCCAGAGCCCTGAGAACTCCTCCCTCCCCCATCCCGCTCCCTCTCCTTTCTGCCAGCGGCTCCTGCCAGCCCAGCCCCTGAGGAATGGCAGAGCCCGGGACACCGAGGGCTCCTGCAGCGCTTCTGAACCCGGCTGTGCCCCAGGGCTCTGCCAGCAACACCCAGAGCCACGGCACCGATTCCTCCCTGGCTTTCATTTCACGAAAACGCCACCAAGTTCTCTGTATCCACAAATGAAACTGGAATTCTGTAACTCAGAAACCCCAGCTCTGCTACTTCACATTTTTCACAAACAGAAAAGCATCACTTAGCTGAATACCTCCAATATCTCTTTTGTAAAGATATGTAACACAAAGTCAAGAAATGCAGCAGCAAAAGAAAATAAAAACAAATATTTTGCTAGTTATTTTCCTTTCAACTGTATTAAAAAGCCCACAAAGGTGTTCCCGAGGACACTAAAACATTGAATTTCTTACTTAAAAGATGTGCAGAGTCACAAATCAGGCGCCTTCCTCCTTTTCTAAGTCCTCCTTCATAGCTGGATTCTTTAACAGGCTTCCAGGTGATTTTAAATATAACTGCTTACCTGTGGTCACCTCTTTTTGCCAACTATTAGCTGGCACTAATACACTATATACACCCACTGTACATAACCTTAAATCCCAAAGGGTAAGATTTCACTTTGCCAGTATAATTTCTTTAAGGAAAAATGCTCTCTCTTTTTTCTACCTTCTTACCATGTTCTCAGAACAACCCCTAAATACCAATCATTTCCATAAGTGAAGGACCTGTTTTTCCAGCCTGTGACTCCCAGCCTTGCCATGAGAGATGGTGGCTCCCAACCACTGGCTCTCAGCAGGGACCACGGCTTGCAAAACAGTCACACACTAAGGGCACAGCAAGAATTTACACCATAAAGCTTAATTTAAACTCTTCCCTTCTCAAAATATAAATGTTATCTGGAAACAGTTGGTTTAAAGATTAACAGCAATTCTAGGGGGAAAAAAAAAGATCTCTTGATATTTTCAAGAGGAGAATGTTATTTCTTAGCCTTGTTTAAATTGTAGTTTACACTGGCTGTTTGTTGGAGATTTAGGGTTGGGAAACAATTTGGCAAATAAAGCCTGAGACAGTTTCTAGCTACCTGAAGTTCAATTCCATGAATTAGAAAAAACCCCTGGCACTTTGAGGAGGAGTTGCTGAGAGCACCTGATGGCTGCAAGTTACCATCGGCTTCAGCCCCCTTCAAACCCTCCCATACTGAATGCAGACATTATCCTGAAACATTTGTATAAAACCCTTTTTCCTACTGCATATAGTCATCATATAGATCACACAAAAACATCAGAATTATTACAGACCAGAAAAATGCCAACAAACGTTTCAAATCTGTGCATATTTGCGGTAATGGCGGCGGTGCCGAGGCAGGGCCGGCCGGGCTCAGCGCGCTTGGAGCGGCAGCCAGGGCTTCCACCGGATCCTGGGATTCCCCACAGCCACAGCAATGAGCTTTCCAGGGAGGCAGCCCGGGAGCAGAGCTGCCAGGGACGGCAGCTCCCACACCTCGATCCCATTTCCATGCGGACTCCGGGAGGGGCTTCTGCCCTCGAGGCTGAGGGGGCTCCGAGCGCTCGGCTCTTTCCAGCCACACCAGCTCCCACTGCCTCAGAATCCAAGCTTTCAGCAACCAGCACTGAAATATGATGGTTCCTTGGAAAATCCCTCCATTGAGACTATCAAGTTTTAGGTGGAAAACAAGAGATTTTGAGCAGCGTCACAGAGGCACCTCTACACCTACCGCCCTCAGCGACACCCATCAGGCCTCAGAGCCGCCCAGGCCCTCAACCAGCAGAAACTGCTCTTTTTTTGCCTCTGAAACGAGTTTAAGTTAGATTACAGCTGTCTGGATGGGCAATCTTTTGCCAGCAAAGCAGGATGTTGGTGTTGTTAACAAGCAACTGACCACATGCCCCATTATACTGTAAAAAAATCAGGTCATTTTGGCAGTCACTGGGATTTGGACCATATAGAAATGGTGACTAGAGATGAAAAGCTTTTACTCCCATTAGCAGTTGTCAGTAATTTCTCACTTGTAACACTTCCAGAGCAAGGAGAGGATAAGGCTCAGAATCACTGAGCTGCTGATGAGCATTTCATTTGCCACAAGTAAATGAAGACTTAATTTGAGCATGCTCTCCTGGAAGATAAAAAGCCCGATGAGTTTCTTCCTTTCCACTTGCATTAAATGCATAATGTCTCCAATCTGATTTGCGCTGCCGGTCTAGGCCTTGTCGGAGCAGGCTTTGAGTCCTTGGATTCTTTTACACCCTGTGAATTCAGTGAAGGACTCAACACCTGCACTGACAAGGTACTCAGGATGTGTCAGCATTGGGCTTCAGAGGGAATTTAAGACCCCGGTCAGGTGTAGATCATTGTGTGTAAATCAGCCATCAGCTGGGGAATTCCATGCACTCTCTGACACTGGTGGTTGCAGGGAGCTGGCTGGAGTGCTGGAGTGCTGTGCAGGCTAAGGCCTAATGCTCTCAGGGGGTTGAGGTTCTTCCCCAGCACCAGTTTGTTGTGTGTGTTCTTAGGTGCTGAATGCTTTGTTCAGAGGAGTGGAATTCAGGCGCCAAACCTGAATGAGCAGTTTTGAGATGATCATGGAAGTTAACTGGCAGTAAGCAGTGGAATTAATTTTAGAATACTCAGCTAGTTTTCTATGCCCTGCTATAGATTTCAATATCCAGAGAGCACTCCAAAAAAGGATACATGAACATTTCACACCCATTGCATTGAAAAAATCTCTGAATCCTGTGGCTTTATAAAGATAACACTGAGTAATGTGAAAGTGAGAGACAAATGAACCCACTTTCTGTATGTAATAGAAATGGTATTTTCTCCTTGCAAAATTACTGAGTTGGTGGCAACTTTATTGCTTTAACAGAAATGGCAACTATGTAATGGGCTCAATGTTAATGTGGAAGACAGCTGCACAAATCCTTGTCATAACAGGGTCATTTTCATGGGCTGAAAAGAAATCAGTGGGCAAGTTCTGTGAAACAGAAAGTAATTTTGATTATAATTATTGCAGCAATGAAAAAGGAGAAAAAAAAAAGGCCTAATTTGTGTAAATCTGAGTTAAATACTCCAGTCCTGCGGTTTATGGTGATGCCAAGCACTGCACTTGCAGTGATACTTGTCACTGTCATGCCTGCTGTCACCACATGCTGTTTTCTCCACCCTCGTGTCTTACTGTAGCTAACACTGCCCAGGCAGGCCAGAGCTCTGCTGCAGTAGCTCTGCCAGTAGGAACAGCTTTGGCTTACCTGAGCTTGGTTGTGAGCAACCCCTCTTTGGGACACTTTCCTTCACTTGGATTTGTCTTCTCACCATTTGACAACAGCAGAAACACACTGAAAATGCTGAGGCCATGTAAGCTGCCTGTCTTGAGAGTCACCATAGGAGAAGGTGACCTACAGTGTACGCACTGCTGGATGCCATGGCCATAAAACCTTGGAGAACTTGGGAGGTATGAAATAAACACACACACAGATTATATTTAATAATTGCTTATTTCTTTACACAAATGTTGCTGGTGTCATTTTACAAATGAAATGGCAACACATACTTTTTACAGGGTATTGTCTACAGCTAAAAAGTGCTTGTCTTGGCAGCTGAATTCAGGCTGAGGACTCTTGTAATACAGCCACTTATTTCAAGAGCTCTTGGTCAATGACAAGAATGACTGTATACATAAGCTGTTGAACCAAAAAACTATGCATTTTCACTGCTTATTGTGGACATTAAATAATTAATATAAGTAGCAACACTAACATGTTTAAAGGCACTTTTTTCTTTACTGAGGCTTAATCTTACTTTTGAGTGTTTTTTGGCTTTCTTTGAAACACTATTTTATTTAATAATAGCTTTTCAAGCTTGGCAAAATTCAAATCTCACATTCAGAGGCCTTGGTCCTAAAGAGACAGAGAGACAGATGAAGTATCTGAGGTATACAGCCATTCCAAAGGCTCTGGCTTTCCAAATACTACCTTCAATATTGGTATTAGCAAAGGCTAGTTTTTCAAAGCAGTGACCATTGATTAAATCAGTCACGGGAGAGGAGGTCACTGCAATAGAACTGGTATTAAACAAGAGGCTTCATAGCACCACAAATAACCTTTGGTTAATGTGTCAACTGTCTCACAGCTGATCTGCCACAGAAATCTTGAGGGACAGGTTTTTATGAGTTGTGTTGGGAATATTCCAGTTAGCAAAAGTACTAAATAAAGCCTAACCTGTGCAATTTTGAAAATGTAATTAAGTAGTACGCTAAGCTAATTGCTGCCCCCAAGTGGACAGAACTGTACCGTAATAGTGTGACATCATCTGCCAAAGGTGGCAAAAGGATTGTTTGATTACTGTTCTTCCTGTGATCCCTGTTGTTGTTACACTTACTCAAGTCCAGTTATAAAACTGAGGCATTGCTGTCTCCTGGATAACCCTGGCTGTGGAAGTGTTTTGTCTTTTTGCATCCTCTGTACAGGTTCTGATCATCTTTCCCAGCTCTGGTACCACTTACGACTAGCAAAAGGAATAATTGAGAGTTTTCTAAATTGTCTTCAAAGAAAGGTATACCATATATGCTTTTAAGCATTGGTAGTCTGAAATCTGGCAATTCATGTAGAGAGTCACGACTCCCAGAAGATTAATACCTGAGTGCAGAACTTCCTATTCTACAGCTTAAGAAGTAAGCAAAATACTCAGGGGGAGGTGGGATCAAATGAAACTGTACAAAAAGAGCACAGGAAAGGGTCAGGAAAGCGCAGCAGAAGGCCTGGGCTGGTGGAGCTGTGGGCCAGCCTTCAGGCACCAAAAACTGTCCCTCCTGCAAAGGCAAAAAGGAACTGAACATTTTACTTGAGTTGCCTTAACTGAGCAGCTGGCTGATCTCTTTGTGAATGCACACAAGGAAATCCACATAGGAGGCTCCTCCATAAATACTCTTGTCTTCTACTAGGAACTGGCGGAAAAGCATCTCTGGCTGCTCCCGTTGCTTCACTATCATCAGCTGGAAAGATAAGAGATACAGACAGGCAATTTTAGGACGTAGTCAGATTAGATGGCAGCACAGTTTTCCCTATGTCTCTTAGTGGATGCTCTTGAGGTGGGGAAAACCCTCAAAACTAATAAATCTCCACATTGCAGAAGCTGGAGAGACTAAGTGAATTGAAGAGTGCAGAATAAAATGGTTACCTTTTAAACTTGACTACCTTTGAAAATCAGTTTTGATTTGGAATAAAGTACACTGGAGATGCCTGTGCCTACAAATCATGCTGGAACTCATTTACGTGCAGGAAGACTCCCGATACCTAAAAAACCTCTTACAGCCACTGGTAAGTTTTGGCAAAACCTGGAATGTTCCTTTGAACAAGTATGAAGAAGGAGTTCAGGCAAAAAGCGATTACCTTCATAGTGTGGGGCTTTTGGCTCTGGATTTGCTCCAGGATATGCTTCAGTTTCTTAGAAAATGGATTGTCCAGGTTAGGCAGGGATGTCTGTCAAAAGGAAAGCAGGTTGTTATAGTCCAGTCACATCTCTAACCCAGACTAGCTGCTGATAGTTACATTCTAAGGTACTGTGGATTTCATACTAAACCAGGAAACTCCATCTCTTTCACTAGAAGGTCTCATCTTGAGGACTCATTAATCACTATATGAAAATGCATCATCAGGAAAACTTAACCATTGCAAAGTGTTTTGTTCTAATTTTAGTAATACTCACTTGAAAGGACTTTGACATCCACAATGAAGTTTAAGAAGGTTAAAGAAATTGTGAAAGCTTCTGTCCTCCTAGTGTTCAGAGTGTCAAAGTGTTAAGTTTTATGTAACTTAAAGCAATTCTGGTGTCTAAACACCTTTTGCTGGTCACCTGTTCTTGCTTTTAAGGCTGATGGATGAGAAAAGACCTCACTTGTTTCTCTGATTAGCGTCTGGTCTTGCTAAGTCCTCAATTCTTAGTCTGCATCTACTCACGGCCTCGGAGCTGATGTGTGCGAAGGACGGCACGTTGAACAGCCCCTGGATGAGCTCTGGGGACACGCTGGCTCCCAGCCACAGGAACATGCTCAGCCCGTTGGCCAGCAGGAAGGCCCCTCCCTCGGAGAGGCGCTCCTCGGAGCAGCGGACGGCGGCTGGCACCGCGTCACTCTTCAGATCCAGGCTGTGCTGTGGGGCAAAGACACTACAGCTGTGGAATTGACTTGAAAAGTAACGACTGAAAGGCTTGGTACATCTTAGTGGTTCCTCTCCAGGTAAGAAGGGTTAGAAATCAAAGTGAAAAAACCACCAGCGACTCACAATTGGCAGCAGCAGGGGGTAGAAGAAGAGCTGTGTGTCAGCCACCCCCATGGCCATGACCAGCTGGCGGTGGAAAGCCCTCTCATCCGTTGGGATTTCAGGTCTGCTGGCCAGCACACAGCTCTTCAGCAGGCAGTTCATGTACACGGGCAGCACCTTCATGGTGTCTGGCAGGATCAGCTGAGAAAACAACACATTTAATAAGAATCCAACAGAAATTATTTGCTCTATAAGCTGTAGTCGCTGTCTTGGCTGCTATCATCTCCCTGTAACACTGTTAATTTTTGGAGCGCTCCCTGGAGAACTGAGGAGAGAAATAGTGGCCCACAATAAGTGTCTCTGGTTTTGACATATTTGGTCCTCACCAACAATGGTGAGTTCAGTGCCCAGGCTCGTGGTTACTGGCAGCACCTCTGGGATGGAAAAGCCTGAGTCTTTCTTTGAGTTGAATCACTAAAACGTGACTGAATAAATTAAATGGAAACAAATCAGTCACTCTGCTTAGTCAAAAATTAGAATACTACAACTATCTATAACAACATAAGAATTAAAAATGAAAGCTTTGTGAGTCAGTGTGTAATTCAGCAGGAAGAAAAGGGCTGGCTGAGCTCCTTTGTGTGAGTACCGGCATCAGTTTCATCAGTGGCATTGCCTTTTGTTCCAAAACAACAGTTTCTGTGTGCTCTAAGTGCCACCACTGAATCCCACCTGTCATTAATTCTATTTGAAAGAAAAGTCTGTCCTGAAATTTTGCTTTCTGGCTCTGCTGATGTTGAGGGGTGGTTGTGCACCTGTGGCAATGTCTGGGTAGGTAGGACTGGGTGTGGGTTTTACCTGGCTGACAGCTGCTGGGCTGGCACAATTCTTCTTGTAGCAGGCCAGCATGTGAGCAGTCTGATTCATCAGGATGTCCCTGACTGTCTTCAGGGGCTGGCTCAGAATGGCTTTAAAAGCTACAAGCACAGAATAAAAGTGTGTGTTAAAAAAGACACTCTCTCTGCTGCTAGTTTCTGATTTTACAGACCTGAGGGCTGAGGCTGCTTTTCAGTCTCTTCTACAGACACCCAGAAACCCCATCAAACCCCCAACACTGCAGTAGGACATCCATTGGCACTTACTGTACCTGCCCAGTTCTGTGTATTACCTACACACAAGTATTACTTTCATGGCAGTTTGTCTAAAATAGGTAATTATTTGTGTTTTCAATTTCATAATACTTCAGGAATTGCTCAGGCATGGAGCAGCAATTTATAAAAAATGATTTCTCACTAGGTAATCATGTCAGCCCCCTTTCCTTCCCTTTCATCCACACCAAAGTAAAAAAGAAAACAAAACTGCTCTGTGCTGTACCTGACTTAGCAAAGAAGTTGATAAGTGCATCAGTCTCACAAGTCCTGTAGACATCAGCTAACTGGGAGCTGCAATTCAAACCGATGTTGTGTATGCGGATTCGCCTCTGCCCACTCATCGAAGTGTACAGGACAGCACACTGCAACAGAGGCACAAAGTGTCCCCACGGAGCCACCTTCTCTGGGCGCAGAAGGCAGATGACACCTTCTGCAGCCAGGGCAGCCTGGCACTGCTGCTGGCAGCTGTAGCACCAGCATACCTGTGGCTCTCAGGGACATCTATCAGACATTACAGAATAAGTTATTATAATTACAAAAAGTTCTATAGTCCACAGAGGGGGCAGTGAGATTTAGCAATAGAGCTGCTCTTGAATAGAGAGGTCACAAGGAATGCCATAGCAATAACAATTGCCATATAAGTAGCAAAGAATCTCTTACTCCACATAAACTTAATTGCAGTGAAATGGAAAAAAATGAACAGCTGATGAGGTCTCAGTGAGTGTTTAGAAAGGATTTGGGTACCCCTGAATAGAACATGCAGCACAGATCTAGGGGAACACACTTTTAACTAGTGGTATTATGGCACAAGAGCCTGGGTAAATTGTGCCTTGCTCCCATTACTCCTACAACCATCACTTCTCTGCTCTGGTTGCAGAAGGTCTTTCTTACCATTTTATGGTATACATGAATTAGGGTTTTTTACCTGAATTAAGGCCCCAGTATCTTCATTCAGTTTGTCATCATGTTTGAACTCCACTGTCACTGCTTTGTCACAGTCAATCGCTGCCATCTCCACATCTGTGGTGTTGTTCATGTAAATGGCCCCAAAGAAGTCTGTAGCCCTGAAGCCTGCAGCCAGATTAATACAGAGCATTTAATTTAAAAATGGCAAATTAAATTGCCATCACTTACTGAAGCAGGAGCCATTTCCCCTCAGGGAGTCCCAACAACTGTCTTTGCTGATGGCATTTGTGAGAGCTGGAGAAAGGGAAAAGCTGTGACTTGGACACCCAGAGCTTCTGCACTGCTGGCTTGGCTTCTGTCCTCCTAGTGTTTCTAATACTTTCTCTAATACTTGCATTTGAGCCAAGAATGAATGAAAGAAGTTGTATAGACACAGGAATGTCATTTGAGTATGAAAATGAAGGCACAGGTCAGTGTCCAGCAGCAACACCTTTTTATACAACCTCCTTGCAGTCCATGCTGTGTGCAGAGTGAACAGAAGCCTTTCCCAGTCTTGAAAATCAGTTATTAAGGAGGTACATACAGGAAGTACATGTATGTACATGTATATGTATACAAGCACCAATATATACACACAGAGCCATGGATTTTGTCAGTCTATTAAATTAATTTTCAAGAGGTACATAATGAAATTAAACCAGCCCGATTTTACATGTGATTTGCATGGCACTACATTATTTCAAGTTCATTCCCATGGGTCCTATTACCTGTACTTGTCCGAACCCTCATTGTTGCATCAAATCCCATCTTCTTTTGGATGTCCTTCCTGAGGTCACTTAAGAACTGGGGGCTGTCAGTTTCGAGCTGCAAACAGAAAGCAGAAGGTTCAGAGGTTCAACACCAAAGTGCAGCAGCACAGCAGTGCCCCAACATCCCCTCCCATGATCCCCATCTCCCCACAGCAAATCTGCTCACAGCTCTTGAGTCCTTAAAAAAGGATATCAAATGTGATTGCTCTTCTCAGTCAGGTATATGCAAGTGTCCACCACTCATTACCAGGCCTGAACATTAACTGGGCATTCCTGCACTTAACCTTTCAGCAAAATTTTAGGATACCAACCAGCTTATTACTACTTCAAGATCCAAATTTGAGCCTGATGAAACTATTTCAAGATCCAAACTTCAAGATCCAACTTGCCATTATTAAACTTGAATTTTATGCCCTGGAATTGATAACCATGTTTTCCAGACTCACTCTGCTTTTAAGTTAAATGTCCAAGCACACACTGAAATAAGATGAAAACCAACAGCAACCCCCCCTAGCAGTTACTATCTGGAAGGCAGGAAACCCGCACCACTGACCTGGAAATTGTTGTACTTGTACAGTGTTCCACCGGTGTACATTGTGACAAGGCCCATGGAGGCTACATCCATGTACTGATTTGGGAAGAGGAACAAATTCACACAGCAGCCATTGGCCACACAATCCTTGGCTAAGGCCTCATAATTTCCCTGTGGCTGGAAGAGGGTCTGCACAGGAATAAAAAATACAAGTGCCATCATGTTAGATATTAATCACAACTCAAAGGGCCAGATGAAGACACAAGGATGAAGTGGAAGTTTGAAGCGAAGCATGGCTATCATCAAAAACATGCTTCCCATGCCCATGGATACAGGGAGCACCTCAGCAGGTTCTTGGAGAACCCATCACTACAGAGGCATCATGTAACCAAACACTTCTGTGTGAAAGAAAATACATTAAAAAGGACCAATGCCCTGTTAGAGAAATGCAGTGTAACAGCAGTCCCCTCTTTGCTCAGAGCAGAAAATACCTTTTCCTTATCTGTATTGAGCAGTTTTTTGTCATCTCTGTTTTTCAGCTTCCCCGGTGCTTCCGCAGTTGGCAGAGAAGAGTGGAAGATGAACAATTTCCCAGCACATTCTGCAGCCTGTTCCAAAGACACCACATTGGCACGGTTACTGCTGCAGGGTTAACAGGCCCACAGTCACACTGCGGGGCTCAGACAACAGCGGCCACTTCCCGCAAGCTCCTCAGAGGGCCAGAGTTCATCTCCAGGCTCACAGCCTGATGGAATAACCCCACGCAAACGGGGCTTTTCTCTCAGGAAGCAGCAGCCCAGCACACAGGTTTGCTGGCTGAGGCATTCCAACAGCACTTTCTCCAGAGGCAAAAGGATGGGCTCCTCTCTTGGAGACTTTCCAACTGGACACAAGCATTATGCAACGGGCACCAAAATACAAATACTCAAGAGCGGATCAAATTTAAAGGAAACGGAAAAATTCAGTTCAGGCACGCTGGTGTTCCATACATTGTTATAAATGGGTGACAATTCCACCCCTGTAGCAGGTTCCACATTGAAACCTCCACTGCCAAGATGCAGACACAAATCAGAAATCACCACGTTCACAACATCTTCCACCTTTCAAAATAAGCTGTGGCATTCTGGCAAAACAGAAGTCTCTCTGCTATGGCAGAAACATACCTGAAGGCAGCACCTGACTTTTCAAAGAGCTGAAATTTCAACCCTGATATTTCAAGAACAGTTACTTTTGATCACCAATGACAAGTTCTTAAACTTCTTTAAGAAGACTTTTGCTGAAGGCTGAAAGACTTCCCAAATACCCATTTGTCCTGATATGCATCAGTAATTATTGACATCGGCTTGACAAAATTTCTAAAATATACATATTTTTAACACAATCCATTTATTCTTTTTAGACAAGAACTGTTTTCTTCAGCAAAGGTATTTGCAGATCAATAATTCATAGAGAAAATCCTTACAAATTATAACTTAAAAATCCTGAGCTAAATAAAATGTTTAATCAAGAGCTGCTTTCTTTTATAGCCATCATCAAAGGAAATTTACAATTATGGCCCTTACATTTGTTTTGTAGAAGTCAAATATTAGGAAAATGCATTGCGATGTGCTCTGCACACATACCTGCTGGTAATATAAATAACAATAAAGCAGCTATTAATTCAATATATAAAAAATATATTTGAGAGATGTTCATTTTTGTTTTGATAAATTTATGTACTCAAAGTTCATGCTTTATTCACAAAAAGCTCCCAAATCAACCATTTTAAAGCACCACTGGCTGTGCTTTGCCTGTACAAATCTTGTGGTGAATCAGGGTGGTGTGCATTTAACTGGCAATGCTCCACTGGAATGTCAGCACTCCAGGGGATTTCCCAGATATACAGAAAGCAACTGAGGAGCACCTCGGGCTGTGGATTCCCTGCCAGCTGTATCCAAGCTGGGAGAACTTGTCAGTTACAGGAAACTCTGCAGCCATGGCCTGATTCGGTCACACACAGATAGTTCTAAATATTCTGTTTTGTTTTTCTGTAAGAAAAACAAGTTTTGCAGAAGCAAAAGAATTACCAGAGCAAAGTCTGATGTTATTATTATTAGTATACTAACTTTCCTGCCCTTCACGTGTGCAAGGACTGGATATCCGTGCAAACACAAGAGTATTGATTTGTTCTGCAGCGGTTACTAAACATGTCTTTATTTCTCTTAAATGCTGAACAAGAAACTGACTCCTGCTCTTCATCTTCTCCTAAACATCCCTCCTACGAGGAATAGACTCTGGGGACTGGTTTCCCTCAATAAGAACATCTGGGAACAGATGTTATGCTTGTCAGTTCTCATTCTGCACTGCGGTTGGAAGGTACTGTTAGAATAACAGAACATTAGTGCTGGAAACAATCAACGACCTTTTCTCCCCTAATTTCCCATTGTGATGGGACTGGCTTTCAGCAAACCTGATTTCAAGCTGCTTCTCTGACAGACAGGAATGTTCTAACCTTTAGTGCCTCCATGCCAGCCTGGATAACTGGAGCGAAGATGGTCTCACTCTCGTTAGTGTCTGCAAACAACTCCGGAATCTGGTCCAACAAGCTATGAAAGAGAAAGGATCAGTGTCTCAACTGGTCAGTGTAAGGTAATCCCCAAACACACCTTGCCTTCACATAGGAAGATGCTGATCATGAAAATTTATAGTGCAAAAAATAATACAAATTTTCCTTGTTCAATTTCTTAGGATCCCAGCCAGAATAAAAGAAAATATGCATTTTTTATTTCCATGAGATGCATTGTTTCAAAGCTTGTAACTTAAAGGAACAGGCAATAAATAAAAAAATAGCTAACCATTAAGTAGTTCTGGTGTGCTGTAAGGACTTCAGAGTCCTAAGATCATATCCAGGCACACATTATGTGCATTGCAAGAGGGAAAACACCACGTGGCTCAGAGCCTCACCCTCCTCCCCGCTCTGAGGCAGCACAGCTGAAAGGTGGCTTACACCTGGCCTACATAACCTTTCCAGTTTGGCACCAGAAGGCCATGGCTATTGCTTTTTCTTTGCCTCAGAGGAGCAAACACAGGCCTTGAAGCATCTGCAGGCTTCTGAAGTATTTCAATAGATACCTGTATACCCCCAAAGCCAACCGATTAAAAGACGTAATGCACATCATAAGCATTCACATCTTACTCTCATGAAGTATAATTGTACTTTACTTGGTAACAACCGATCGGGATTCCTCAAAGTCAACAAGGAAGCCATCCAGCAAAGGGACAAAAATTTCTGCCACATCTGTGACCACCATCATCTGAGGCTGAGCTAAGCTGCTCTTTACATTGAAGAAGTGGAGGACCTTGTTATAAGTGACAAAACCAACTCGAATTGCCGAGGATGCTTCTTGCTCTTCTCTGTAAGAAAAACAAAACCCAAGCCGTTGTAATTCTGAAATCTGACCTTGCAGTAAAAGCATCCCTTCCACATGTAACACTGTTCTCTGGTCATTATCGGTACAGGGAACAACAAAGCAAACAACAACCAAGCAGAGGTAATGGCCTCAATCTTTGCCTTAGGTCAAATTCAAACACCTCGATAAAATCAACTGCTCCACTGTTTACTCTTTAAACAAAGGTAATAAATTCACATCAACCTATCAATTGTGCATCTCATTCAAACAGTCAAAAACCCCAAAGATAAAGAATAAACCAGGCTGACATCATAACAAAGAAAGAACAGCACAATTAGTTATGGAGCCGGATGAGGACAAAGTGCTATTCAACTTCTATACACACACCACTTTGCTACTTCAAAGAGAAGCATCCACATCATCCCAGTCCCAAAGGAGTTACACACCAGGTGTTTGGGACCTTTATTCCAGATATTGCTCTTACCAGCGTCAGTCTGCACTGCCCCACTTCCATCAAGTTCTATCATTGTTTTAAGGGTTAGCTTTAAGCAGCCAATTGTCTCTGTAGCTCACACTCTAGTTATTTTTGAAGACTCACAAGGAGAAACCTGACCCATATGCACAGAAATGCATTCAAATACTTTTTGGTTTTTATTTTAAATTATATACCTAAAAATCATAATTGCATAACTCATTACTCTGGTTTTCTGAACTCATAAGCACATTTGTACAAACACATTTCTCAGTATTTCCCAAAATGAAGTCAGGGAGGGGGTTCTTGTTTGGAACACAGGTTTGAAAACATCTGCTGTAAAATTTCAGCAATTCTTTTGCTGCACAGATTTCTTTGGTACCCCAAGTCCTTCCTCTCAAAGATACAAGCTCAAGGTGAATTCCCTGCAGAGGCCTTTTCCCTCGTGTGGGAACAGCAGAATATTTCTGCAGGTGTCTTTGCCCAGCAACAGAAAATGAACACACAGTGACCTCTGTGTCTAAGCAACATAGTAAAATTTTCACCATAGATTTTGGTGGAATGTCTTCTTTTAAATTAATATTGTTTAAGCCAACAGAAAAATCTGAGGAAAATGAAGGGCCTGACTTTTTTTTTAATTGCTTTTTTCAGCAGACATGAAAACTTCAGCCCAAATGATTTCACAACAGATCTCTCAGAGTGCTGGTGAGAAGGATGAGTACGTCTCCTTTGTGATATGGATACATTTGCTTTCATTCCTCCTCTACTTGCCCCATTCAAATTTCCAAACTGCCAAATGCTTTTTGTTACTCCATTCATGCCTCTTATTCTCTTCAGAGTCATGACCAATCCTGATGGAAAACTCTGAGATATGTCTGGGATAATATCAAACACTTGTGTCTCCAGTGTAATCTTCAGTGAAAAACTACTTGAGAGATGGCCTTACATGGGCATCTGATAAAATAAGCCCCCACCCGGGACTGCAATTTCTTTCCGGCACAGGGATCCCAGAAGGCCATAAGGAAAAGATTTTTAACATATCCCAGATTGTCCCAAGGATGTCACCTCCCACCATTCCTCACACTGCTCTCTCCATTTCTTAAGTCTGTTCTCCCTCTGCAAGCATTGTTATTTAGAAAGCATTTTCTTTTTGGATGTTTTTTTAATATGCTTTTATATGTAGACAAGAAACATCTTGCCTACTTCATTTCAGTCTTTCACTGCTCTCATTTCCCAATGTCTGTGTTATTTAAACTCTATTGAAAACTACACTAACACTAAAATTGACACTAAAATACACTAAAATAATACACTGTCAATAATACTGAAGACAAGTAACACTACTGCTGTGTGTTTCATGCTCACAAAGCACACATGCTCTATTTCATAAAATGGTTGTTGCTTACAAGATTTGCTCTCTCAGATACAAACCAGGACAGAAAAGTCTCACAGTGCAGCAAGAAGCTTTTAAAGTTTTGCTAATTAACAGTTAAGTCCTAAAGATACAAGGCACCAGCAGCATGGCTTTAGAGAGACTGGCTGCTGCTGAGTATTCTGGTTTGAGTGTTTCCCTGTTTAGTTCAGGGAGAAAAGCAGGGTCCCAGCAAACACAACTGCTGCCAGTGAAGTGGAAGCTACGAGCTGTGACTGAGCTGACAACACCACTAGAGTTCACTGCAAGCAAGGAAAAGAATACAAGCTCCAAGTGCAGTAGCATGGCATATTCCTTCTGTTCATACAGTAAGCCCAGACATCCAAGTGTAACAATTGCCAGCAGCGTTAAAAATTAACATTTGGTCCCTATCATTTAAAAAACTCCTGTTCTGGAAATTCTGACATTTTCCACACCTTGGCTTTGCCTTTCAACATGCAAAGCTGCATGAAAAGTGCAGCCTAGTGAGTTAAGCCAAGCACACTAATGCCTCTTTACCTTGGAAGTTTATCTAGCAGAGTCTTCAGTTCATCACATATGAGTTTCACTAGGCCACTCTTTATGTTTCTGTATGATACATCAATCATGAAGATAAAAGCTGGTGGTTTAGGAGGCTTCTTGTCCTACACGGAAGAAAAAAAAAAAAAGACTATTTACAAGGAAAATTAGACAGTGTCCTGTTATGAGAAAAAAATTTAGAGGTGGTACCATAAGGCAATGCAAATACAGTGTTCAGTTGTTTAAAAATGCTGTGAATCGTAAATAGTAACTACTGCCGAGAGCTGACATGTATTGGGTAAAGTCCAGCCCTGGAATAGAACACTATCCCTGGAAAACAGCATCCTAACGGAATAAAATATCTAAAGGGTAACAGTTCATTAGATAACATGAAGCACCAACTTTTCTGCTGGAACTCAAGTGTTTAAAAAAATTTGTGTTTTGGCTTTTTTCTGTACCCCTGCTTTCCTTGGGGAGTTCCTCTTATCCACAGTGTAAATGGCACACAAATCATGCACACACTATGGACAAAAGTCTCTGTAAGTGAGAAAAAGTAAGAGGAAGGTTTGTTAAAAAAAAAAATAAAAGCAATGCCAAGAGATGTACCTAGGAAGTTAATACAAAATGAACAGAGCAAGAGTAAACATGACACTCCCTAAAATGGGTTTTCTTAATTCCCATTAAATGAGTAGTAGTCATTATTTGGCGTCAAATTCAGGACAGTTTTTCATTACAGTTTCACTTCCTTCATACAGAGTTCTGACCTCTTAAATTATACTTGTTAAACTAAACTCTAGAAAAATTCTAGTTAAAGAAAATTAATCTAACCCTTCAATTATGACTTATCCTTAGTCCCTGGCAAACTTTAAACTAAACTGAACATTATACCCTTGATCTCACTCATTTGACTCACACAAATCAGGATTAATTCCAGCAAACCAAAACCAGGCAGTATCTTTCAAAACAGTTCTCTTTACTGTACTTGGATGCTTGTTTCAGAAACTGCACCAAAAACTGCTTCTACATTCTTGTATCAGATCAGCATTTATAAAGAATCTCTAAGTTCTGACAAATATATGGCAGAAACAAGGACTTGTGCTCTCACCACATCCGCTTAGCAGGAGTGCAATAATGCAAACCAGCTGGGATTTGTTAACATTCTTTGTAGCTGTTCATCCTTGTCATTTGATAAGCACAAAAGGAAATGACTTCTCAGTTCTGGTCTTGTACTGGATTTATAAAAGTAGGGAACCAGTGCAACTTGGAGCCAAATGAAAAGTGAATTACAAAATAATGCCACATTTAATGACATAGCATTTCCAGCGCAGAGTGTTATTTTGTAAGAGATTTTTTTTTTTTTTTTAACGTTGCAGTAAGTCTGGGGATGCATCTTTGTAGCAAGCAGGCAGACCAGAACGATAACCTGTAGAGGAAACTCCCTGGCTTAAGATAGGTGACTAAAGTTGAGGCTTCAGAATTTGATGGAACTTCACTGGATGTACACTGAGTGTCCCACACTGTATCTCTGCAACATCTCTCTGCAATTCTCTCCTGCTTTGGGGTTTAACCCAGGTTTCAATCAAATCTTACAGGTTAGCTCAGAGATCTCACTGGGTTTTGGAGCGGTGCTCTAGTGACCAAGCAGACCCAAACCTTTTCATTTTCTCCATACCAGCAATAATTTGATGGTCCGAAGAAGATACTGGTAGCTACTTCAAGGTTTTGTAGGATCCAGTTGCCTTTTCTAACCTTATGATGGCCTCAGCTCCACTCACAGGAAAAAAATTCTGCTGGATTCCAGCAAGAACAGAAAAATATGTCTGTGCTGCAGTCAGATGAAGTCACATTTGCAGTTTTGTAAAATGAGCTGAAGTTTGAAAAGATTAAGTAATTTATGCTTTCAGAAGTATCAAATAGAGTTCTGTAATAAAACCAACTACAAATATTTAGAGTACCACGAGTGGGCTCTGGATTGAGTTCTTCAGTGAGTTGATATTAAAAGAGAGAATCAATCCCACTGTAACTTATTGGTCAGAATATTAAGAAGACTCTTGCCAGGAACAGATTCCAAGGTCAAATTCCCTTGCTAAGGTTTTGGGTATTAGGAAGGCTATTTAGGCATGCGTTGGTCTTCAAAATCAGTAGAAGACATACATCTAAAATGCAACAATGCACCAGAATTCCAAAGCTATCCCCTGAACAGTGCAACATGCTGGTAAACGTGCACATGTCTCACTTAAAGACTGGTGATCCATGATTTTGCTGCACTGCTTGTTATTCTTTCTTGCATCATGTTCTGCAGCACAAAAGAACAAACCATTGTATTGTCCACACCTATCCATACTTCCTAGAATGTTCCTGGAAACTGATATGCAGCTTACAAGTGCATTTACTCTGAGGAGCTTGTTTGCTTTGCCATAACACTGTACACTGGTGTGCACGCTGGCAGTACTCACTCGGCAATAATCCAAAGTAGCCACGTATTCGTAAGATCCCAGGGACAGCTCAGGCCTCTCATAGTGGTCTATCCGTCGGCCCACGTGGTCCAGGTGTTGAAAGAAGAACGGGGGGACTACAAGCCAACACAAGAAGAGGAAAAAACATTTGTAACTGGGGAAAGAGAGGAACAACACAACAAATTCTCTCAGCAGATATACTCCAAAGCAGTAAGAAATCAAGTGGGTGCACCAACAATTTACACAGAGCCAGTTCTATGGTTCCTCAATGAATACATACTCAGAATGCTTATTTCCCACATTTTTGCCTGAAAAAGTGCATATGCCTGTGAGTGAGGGGAATATCAACCTAGTTTCTTAGCCATTTTTAGTTCTTATCAATGATTTTTTGTTTCAGTAAGTGCTTTCTGACTAAGACATTGTAGCAATACCAGCATGATTTAAAATGATACTGCAACTTAAATGTCTTTCTTAAAGTGCTCCCAGTGCATCTAAATTTCCCTTTATGAGAGTTTCAATTGTTAACTAACGATGAAATTTATTATCTGCTATGCCTGCACAAACATTAGAGCTCCAGGCAGCAAAGCAGTTGGAGGGAGTCTGACAAGGTTCACGTTTCAGAGTTGAAAAGATGACTGTATTAGGGAAAGCACCATACCCCTGTGATCCAGCTGAGGAAATCCAGCTTGATACAAATGTCTAGAAAGGCTAGTTCTGGCAAAGATTTGGGATTTCGCCAGGAGCACAAGAACAGTTATGAGTCACATGCAGCACACTTGAACAAATATGGCATGGTATCTTCTGTGAAAACCAACACTTGTCACAGCAAGATTAATAGATTATTCAACCATTGCACCCACAGTCATGCACAGGGAGAAGCTAACATGCATCTAAATATTTGCTTCTTGCTGTAAATTTGCATTTCTTAAAGAAATTAATGTTTTCTTTCAGCACAAAAATTGCTTTCAATTAACAACACAAGCAGTTCTGCATCCTGTGTTGTCACACAATTTTTAAAATAAAGTTTTGATCATACCAGACTGGACTTCATGAGTCAGCATTATTTTTCATCTATTTTTTTTTTAACTGTACTGAATAAACGTTTCCCTCTACTATTCTTGGGAATTGATTTTTTTAAATTTGTGAAATAAGTCTAGTTACTGCATCTCCCTGAACTATTTTTTGTTAAATCGGCAAGTCAAGAAAATAATTTTAGAGATAGAGTTTCTTTTTAGTTTTATGGAATTGATTTGAATCCCAGATTAGAGGAACATCACTCACCATCATTTATACAGTTACAAAACCCACACTGGTACCTCCTGCCACCTTCAATGAACTGCATGAAGGGACACATGTAAGCTTTGCAGCGGTTGCACCGGATGGGGCCGGTCTCCCCATGGTTTACGAGATAAAGAGGTGTCTGTGGAGGAAGAGGTACAGAGAGAGAGCCATGTCAACATGACACCAAGGACAGCTACAAAGAGTTAATTCAGATTTAACTCGTTACAGACCACCTGATTAAGAGATCATTTAATTGTTCAGCACTCACACAAAAGCTGTTGAGCCCCAGAGATCCCCTCAGGGGCTACATTCACAAGTTCACAGGCTATATTCTGATGTTTATCAGAAAAACAGGAAGGATTCAGACCAAAACCCCACAACATTTTGCAAGCATTGGCGTTTAGGGCTCCAGACTGATTTTCTACAGCAAAGGGAAATTTTTACAGCTCACTAAGAAAAATCTTCTGGAGTCAGGTCTTTTGGCTTCTGTCAGATGGAACTTTTCCTGAAGAAATCTACACCTGATTGTCAATCACAAAAGGGTATTTGCTGAGAAAGCCCTTAATATTTTGTCCTAAATGCTGCCTCCCGTGCTGCCTTGTTACATGCTACACTCCAGTTTAAATGATGTCAGAGTCATCAGCTAGAGGAGAAGATTTAGGAGAAATACTAATATTTATTGAAGGCAAGTACATACAGCAAACAAGTACAGTACCTCAAGCACTTGTCAGTTTAATTACACTGACCATGCTCACTTACAGCCCCTGCCAAAACCCATGGCTAAGGGAAGACATTTTCCAGATGCCTCTTTCCATAAAAACTGCAGCTATTGAAACATTCCTGTGATTATTCTCAGAGTTAGAAAAGTCATACTTGAAACCGTTGCAAAAACGGACATTTGCTCAATTATTCGTGAAACACTAATTTTAAATTTTTTTTTCCTTACTCCCATCATCCCCAGCTAAAATTCTCAAAAGGCAGGAATATGACATGTTCAGAGTTTGGACACAGCAGATCCCTACAAGAAGAAAAATGCTGACAATGCCTTTCAATGCTAGCACATCACACCAGCACATTCCTTTTTTTTTTTTTTTTTAATAATTATTCTGTCTCTTCTTAAGGAATGGGTGTATTTCATCTACTATACAATTTATTTTTTACTGCTGCATAAGGATGCATTTTACCAAGGATTTTCTACATAGAAGCAGATTTTTACTACATGGGTTTTAAGTGCTCCCTCCTGCTCCACTGAGATATTCTTTTACTTTGTGTTCCTTCCTCTTTGCAAATTGAATTTAACCCAAATTAACCAATAATGCCAGCTGGCAAATATCAGGGTCATTTTTCAGACATGAAAGCTTTGGCCATGAAACTTGCTCATCAGCCTCAATGGCTTAATAAGGTTTAAAAGTTCTGGGTTTTGTTCATTATTTGGCCATTTTCTGATTATCATTCTGCTGTATAAGTTTAATGAGACCTGGATCTGGTTTGCAGTTAATATTATCATAACATCTGACCTGGTATGGGAAAAAAACAAGACCAAACCAACTCCTGATGCATTTATACACATTGATGCAGTAACTTTCAACCTTGGTTTCATACACTTAACATTTAATATCCAAGAAAAATTACTCCCCAAAAGTGTTCACATTTTGACACATGAAAATTTTTACATAAAAGGCATAAAACAAGAACAATCAAAAAACAAATGCCATGAAGTTCAGAGCCCAAGTACCTACATTCTTACACACATGTAATAAATTACCTTCTTGAAGACAAAAAAATTAAGATCAAAAGAAAAAAACCAAGAAATAAGCCAACTAAAAATGTACATGACAGAATTAAGGAGTTCGCCTAACAAAGAAAATTTTTTAAAGCAGCCCTATTTGTCTCCTTACTAATTTATTTACTGGGATTTTTAGAAAATAAATGAAATTTACATCTTAGTGTTTTCTTTAACACTTCAGAATGTTACATCAATAAAATTCCATTTAATGGCAAAGCTATCTGCGTGATAACTGCAGAAGAACTCAGACCAAAAGCATCCAAAATCCACTTCTTGATGACAACACCACAGTTGTGAAAGAAACTTTGTCTCCAAAAAGCTGCCATCAGTGCATTGCACTGTAGAGCCTGACATCCCACCACCCCATCAAGAGAAAGGAATTCCTATTTCTGTGTGCAAACTGCTATTGCACTTCCAAACATCAAAGTAATTTCTGTCATAGTAAACCAACTTCTAAAAAAAAAGTAGATTTCTGTGGGAATGTACAAAGTCCTGAGTTTAAATTAAGGATACATAAAAGCAAAACAGTAAAAAAACCAACAAAACAAAACAAAACACCAGTGATACTGAATGGGAAAGTCTTGTTTGGTGTGCTCCATTCTCTGTAGATGTCACTGTACACCAGAAGAAAAAGCAGAGATATCTCTTCATGCTCCCATGAAACTTCTGCCATGAAAGTGACAAACTTTCATAGCAGCAGGGGAATGGGGTAAAATTTAATAAGAGGTTTTTATATTTGGAGGGGGTGGGGGGTGTGTTTTTACTTTCTTTTTTTTTTGTTTTTTTTTTTTTTTTTTTTTTTTATTTTTTTTAAGTAAATGCAATACTCCTGTTTCTTTTGCCTTTCCACCTACAAAGTATCAGCATTTTCTTTCTCTCTTGTCTCAGAAAGAATCTCCCAGTTTTGCTGGGAGGCACAACATTGCAATTTTATGTTAAAAGCAAAGGAGGATTGGGCAGAAGATGGAAAATGCTGCAAGTGACCTGCACAAAGTTAAATTCCTCTGGAACCTTGAGGCCCCACTGAAGTGCAAGCCCAGAGTGTTGATCTGATAAACCATAACTTAACCCCGAATATAGCTGCAATAAGAGGAGTTTTATTTTGGAAATATTTCAGCAAGACCATCTCTCAAGAGTCAGAAAAATATCACAAAGCAACAGACAGACGTTGGTGGCACAGCTCCAAGATAAAACACATCCATGAAAATTTCCAAAGGGACTTGAACCTGCACTTTAAAGTCTGAGAAAGCTGATTTTCTATTGCTTGCTATAAAAATGAAGTCCTGACATGCTCCTGAGGGTGATGCCTGCAAACTATCACCATATTCTTATTGCAGGATGTGGACCACAGCTGCAAATTTTAAGTGTAGGAGTAAGGACTGTGCTAAAGCTCCAGATCATCGTGGCACACCTCTGGGAAAGCATTATAAAGAGAAAAATCCTAAGTGAGAGATCCTCTGGAGAACAAGACAGGCACATACAGATACTGAAAAAAATTACCCATTTCTCAGACAACAAAATAAACAGATCAGTGTGTCTATCAGACCCTTACAGTGTAAGCAGTGCTTCTAGAGTTGTTACTAACAGTTACACTGATGAAAATCTAGTCACTAAAATATTTCTATGAAAATTTCAAGATATGCTATACAACATAACTTTCCAATGAACAAAGGAGAAGGCTTTATCCAAGCATGGCACTATTGCCCCAGGAAAATGCTGTGTTTAATTAGTACAGTAAAAAGATGACAAAAAACTCCACTGAATAATCAAAGGGAATTCTGAAATATAATACTGATGTTTTTTGAAAAAAACTAGGTCATGAACCAAAGTGTCTCTGTTTCCTAGCACTGTTGAAGGGGTTTGTTTTCTTTTTTTCTATCATCATAGATTGCTTTTGAGAAAGATTAACCAGTCTACAAATAATCCCTTGGTTTTGAGCTGCTTTACTGATTCGCATTAAAACGTCAAGAAAGCATTTCCCTTTGTGATGTTCCCACTGTCTTTTATCAGAAGCCATTCCCTCTGAAGGCAGGAGTTATTTTGCCTGTTCTTGGTTTTCAGTTGTTGAACATGCTCGGCCTCCTCAGCTGATGACTCAGGCCAATTTGGACTATCTCATCTGCAAGGTTCACAGCAGGTTCAACTATTTTCTGTACCACACTTCTTTTCCTTTGATTTCCTTGTTTGCTCGCAAGACTGCAGCAAGGCTAAAGCATCGCCCACGTGATGCAGGGTCTCCTGGCCCTAGCCTGGTTTTCACAGACCACATAAAAATGCCAAAAGCATGTTCAAACCTCCTTGCTCAAAGCCCCTCCAGGCCCAGGCTGCACATTCCTCTGCATACACAGCACTGCAAAACACACCATGGCATGGTAGCTGAATTTCAAGTGGACCCTGCAAGTGGGATATGATCCAGTATGTAGGAAAAAAACCAGAAAACTATTTATCAGCTTCTGTGTATCATACCTCAGCCTACCCCTGAAATCCTTACTCAGCATTCCCTTTTTAAGGGGAATTTTGCAATTAACTGAACAGAGCTGGCACCGTGAAGAGTGTAAATACAGACTACACTCTATTTATTCATCATGACAAGGATTTGTACAAGTTTGAGGATAGGGGGAAAATATACGTAATAAGGATAAAATGTTGATGTAAAAAATACCAAAATTAGTTAGCTTACTTCTTTAAAACTTCTGTATCATACCGGGGGCCAAAGCAGAGGGAAAAAAAAGACAGAAGTTCATTGTGAGGATGGGGGAAAATACATGTAATAAGGATAAAATGTTGATGTAAAAAATACCAAAATTAGTTAGCTTACTTCTTTAAAACTTATCATACCGGGGGCCAAAGGAGAGGGAAAAAAAAGACAGAAGTTCATTACCCATGCCTGAGAGAGGCACCCCAAGTTCTGCTGGTCATGATCCCAGGGTGGGAGCCCCAAGCATTAAGAGAGCAGTGCTCTGCAGCACCTCTCAGCTTTGCAGTGCTCACTGCTCTTTGGATGCAGGCACAGGCTGTATCTGGAGGCAAGGCCAGCAGCCAGGATTAACTGGTGCTAGAAGCAGGAGCGTGAAATTGGCTAATCAAGAAACAGTGCTGCACAAGGCACTTCCACAATGTTAGCACTTGAAACTCATCAGCTCTCAGCCAGACCTGCCTCAGCGCAGTGCACCCTGAACCCAGCAGGAGAGGGAGCTGCCGCAGAGGCACAGACCCAAGGGAAGAACAAGGCCAGACAGACCTGCCCCAGGACAGCACTGTTATTGCTGTCAGCACCCCTGAGGGGGATAAGCACATGTTCAACCACATGCCAGGGCTGAGGTTCAGGGCTGTACCAATCCACAGCTCCACTT